GAAACAGCAGCTGTCCAGTACTCCCTGGTTTTCAATGGTTCTCTAACTGATATCAATCCGTGATCAACCCGTAAAACATAACTAATCCTTACAAACCAAACTATACAAAGTTATTCTGATGCTCGCTAGTGACTTGCTACAGGTTGGAGTTTCCTGAGTTCTAGTGAGAAGTCGTGACCAGTGAGGTCCAACTAGATGTCACGTGTGTGGATGGATGTCCCACCAACGACAATGGTTGGGGTCGCGCTAAATCACGAATTAGTAGAAGTTAGAATTCACGAGCCATTGAATCGGGTCCCAGTGGCTGAATGGTATACGAGCTTGCCTTGTAACCGGAAGGTCCCGGAATCGAAACCCAGTGGGTGCGTACTGCCGATGATTCCCAAACTAGGATGAAACAGCAGCTGTCCAGTACTCCCTGGTTTTCAATGGTTCTCTAACTGATATCAATCCGTGATCAACCCGTAAAACATAACTAAACCTTACAAACCAAACTATACAAAGTTATTCTGATGCTCGCTAGTGACTTGCTACAGGTTGGAGTTTCCTGAGTTCTAGTGAGAAGTCGTGACCAGTGAGGTCCAACTAGATGTCACGTGTGTGGATGGATGTCCCACCAACGACAATGGTTGGGGTCGCGCTAAATCACGAATTAGTAGAAGTTAGAATTCACGAGCCATTGAATCGGGTCCCAGTGGCTGAATGGTATACGAGCTTGCCTTGTAACCGGAAGGTCCCGGAATCGAAACCCAGTGGGTGCGTACTGCCGATGATTCCCAAACTAGGATGAAACAGCAGATGTCCAGTACTCCCTGGTTTTCAATGGTTCTCTAACTGATATCAATCCGTGATCAACCCGTAAAACATAACTAATCCTTACAAACCAAACTATACAAAGTTATTCTGATGCTCGCTAGTGACTTGCTACAGGTTGGAGTTTCCTGAGTTCTAGTGAGAAGTCGTGACCAGTGAGGTCCAACTAGATGTCACGTGTGTGGATGGATGTCCCACCAACGACAATGGTTGGGGTCGCGCTAAATCACGAATTAGTAGAAGTTAGAATTCACGAGCCATTGAATCGGATCCCAGTGGCTGAATGGTATACGAGCTTGCCTTGTAACCGGAAGGTCCCGGGTTCGAAACCCAGTGGGTGCGTACTGCCGATGATTCCCAAACTAGGATGAAACAGCAGCTGTCCAGTACTCCCTGGTTTTCAATGGTTCTCTAACTGATATCAATCCGTGATCAACCCGTAAAACATAACTAAACCTTACAAACCAAACTATACAAAGTTATTCTGATGCTCGCTAGTGACTTGCTACAGGTTGGAGTTTCCTGAGTTCTAGTGAGAAGTCGTGACCAGTGAGGTCCAACTAGATGTCACGTGTGTGGATGGATGTCCCACCAACGACAATGGTTGGGGTCGCGCTAAATCACGAATTAGTAGAAGTTAGAATTCACGAGCCATTGAATCGGGTCCCAGTGGCTGAATGGTATACGAGCTTGCCTTGTAACCGGAAGGTCCCGGAATCGAAACCCAGTGGGTGCGTACTGCCGATGATTCCCAAACTAGGATGAAACAGCAGCTGTCCAGTACTCCCTGGTTTTCAATGGTTCTCTAACTGATATCAATCCGTGATCAACCCGTAAAACATAACTAATCCTTACAAACCAAACTATACAAAGTTATTCTGATGCTCGCTAGTGACTTGCTACAGGTTGGAGTTTCCTGAGTTCTAGTGAGAAGTCGTGACCAGTGAGGTCCAACTAGATGTCACGTGTGTGGATGGATGTCCCACCAACGACAATGGTTGGGGTCGCGCTAAATCACGAATTAGTAGAAGTTAGAATTCACGAGCCATTGAATCGGGTCCCAGTGGCTGAATGGTATACGAGCTTGCCTTGTAACCGGAAGGTCCCGGAATCGAAACCCAGTGGGTGCGTACTGCCGATGATTCCCAAACTAGGATGAAACAGCAGCTGTCCAGTACTCCCTGGTTTTCAATGGTTCTCTAACTGATATCAATCCGTGATCAACCCGTAAAACATAACTAATCCTTACAAACCAAACTATACAAAGTTATTCTGATGCTCGCTAGTGACTTGCTACAGGTTGGAGTTTCCTGAGTTCTAGTGAGAAGTCGTGACCAGTGAGGTCCAACTAGATGTCACGTGTGTGGATGGATGTCCCACCAACGACAATGGTTGGGGTCGCGCTAAATCACGAATTAGTAGAAGTTAGAATTCACGAGCCATTGAATCGGGTCCCAGTGGCTGAATGGTATACGAGCTTGCCTTGTAACCGGAAGGTCCCGGAATCGAAACCCAGTGGGTGCGTACTGCCGATGATTCCCAAACTAGGATGAAACAGCAGCTGTCCAGTACTCCCTGGTTTTCAATGGTTCTCTAACTGATATCAATCCGTGATCAACCCGTAAAACATAACTAATCCTTACAAACCAAACTATACAAAGTTATTCTGATGCTCGCTAGTGACTTGCTACAGGTTGGAGTTTCCTGAGTTCTAGTGAGAAGTCGTGACCAGTGAGGTCCAACTAGATGTCACGTGTGTGGATGGATGTCCCACCAACGACAATGGTTGGGGTCGCGCTAAATCACGAATTAGTAGAAGTTAGAATTCACGAGCCATTGAATCGGGTCCCAGTGGCTGAATGGTATACGAGCTTGCCTTGTAACCGGAAGGTCCCGGAATCGAAACCCAGTGGGTGCGTACTGCCGATGATTCCCAAACTAGGATGAAACAGCAGCTGTCCAGTACTCCCTGGTTTTCAATGGTTCTCTAACTGATATCAATCCGTGATCAACCCGTAAAACATAACTAATCCTTACCAACCAAACTATACAAAAATAATAAAAATATGTATTTATGGGACAAATGAGAGAAGTTTTCACTTTTATATAAACAATTATATCCTATTAAGGGTCATGTGTCCTTAAACATAAGTAATGCGTACTGTGTTAATTAATATATGTGATGCTGATAAACACAGTCATGGAAAGAAAAGAGGTTAGAAAGGTTCTTCATGCTTTTAAATATTTCTTCATTCGAAAGAATGATCACAGTTTGATAAGGCAGATTAATAAGAAATGATTAAAAATTTGCTATTTTCTTTAATAAACAAAGATGTTTTTCACTAATTTGTTTCTGGACAACTGTTTCGTCCTAGTTTAGGACTCTTCCGAGTTCACACTGAGGACCTACAGATTATAAGGAGATCTTGATGTTCATTCAGTCAATGGATTACGATCCAGCTGCTAACCCATGAATTCCAACTGCTACCCATTCATAGTCTTAGTTAATATCATGAGCAAGTATTTGTCCTTACATACATAACCAGATAAACTTCAGGTAACTTCCTCTGCAGAGTTAGTCACTGGTGAGCATAAGATCTATTTCTGAGAGTTGATTTGCAAGGAGTGGATTTATTACAAGTTTGCTGATTGATTGATTGATTGATATCAGTTATAAAGGCATTGGAAACAGCGAAGTTCTCTGCAGCTGCGGTATTCTAGTTTTGGATGCATCCGCAGTACGCTTCCACTGGGGTTTGGACCCAGGACCTTCCATTTGCAAGGCTAGCTAGTATAGCACTCACTCATCGAATGGCCCATGAATTCCAGCTTCTACTAATTCTCACCATCCTCTTTCATTGCACGTATTTGTCCCCATACTTGACCTGATGGACTTCAATGTCAATGACTTTTCATTAGGACTCCAGGTGACTTTATCCTGCAGTCAGTTGCTGGTGAGAATACTGAAGTGACAAAAGATATGATTCATAGACCATTGGATTCCGTATCAGTGACTCTACGGTCAATAACTTTGACCCGTGACCTGAAAGCTCTAGGTTCAGTTCCGGCTTGGGGGTTAATGCGGATGAAGCAGCTGTTCCCTACACCTTCCTAGTTTCCGATTTCACAAGACATCCTCAGCATTGGAGACGTCGTCTACTTAGACGACGAGTACTCCTCAAATGAACCATGCTGCTAGGAAAACACAACTGTACCGAAATGGTTGTAAAGTATATGCAGTTCGACGGAAAATAGATAACTTCCATTATCTTCTGACCAGGCTTCCTCTGTTTCTACTTCAATCGCTCATTATCCTAATGAATTGAGAGATACCAACTGATTGGCGAGGAGGAAACTTACTCCATCCTGCTAACATCGGCTTGCCTGGCATTTGGTCAAATCCTGCTGGTGTAAACAACGCTAATGTCAAGCGTGTAATACTAGTGGACACAAACACAAGTTTGCCAACAACACACATGACGACACTAACAGCAGTCATTCTTAAGTTACTATCGAAGATCCCATCTTCAAACAGTGGGGAAATATCTGAAGTTTCATAATTGTTTCACACACTTATGCTCTAGACCTGGAAAGTTCATTAATGGCCATCTATTCAGAATACATGTCAATAAAGCATCAGATATCATGATTATCATCAAGCAACTATGTCTGAAAATCGATAACCTTCAATCCAGTAACAAATTCTTTACATTCCAATCACTTCATGTGATATTCAGCTGTCACTAGCAGGAAAGATTTAGTGTTTTTCCAAGAATTTACCCTGTTTAATTTATTATCCTTTCATTTTAACTTACTTGTGACTGATCGCTTGATTGGCTAGTTATTTCATTTATCTTGCTTTCTCATAACTACTATTGGACAATCACATTCCGTACCATATATGCATGGGTGGTGCGCATAAAAGTGAGACCATGCTGAATTGATAATTAACATGCATAGCCTATGAGATTGTATCCATCATTCTCAAAAGAAGAACGGAATTTTGGGTCCAATTTCACAGCAGATGCGTAGTTTACTCATAGAATACTTAAGGCATCAAATAACATAGACATTCAGTTTCCCGAACGCCACGGTAATAGAAATTTTAAAAAGTTTATTAAGCTTAACTTGAAAACACATTCTTACTTCATCTTGGCATATATTTCAATGTTCCAATTTTTTTCCAGATGCATGCAACAGACAAAGACATTGGAGTTAATGCTCAAATTTATTACACTTTGGAGAAGAATGAAATGACTACACCTTATTTCAAAATAGATCCAGTCACTGGTTGGATTACAAATTCAGCGGAACTGGATCGTGAAGTACAAGCAACATTTCAAGTAAGTTGTTGGGTCAATATTTTTATGATTAGGATATGTTTTATTACTGATATTTTCTTTTTTTTTTGTTTCAACCAATTATCACTAATTTTTATGTAATAAGTGGTTGAAAGCTACTTGATCTGACAGTGTGTGATCTAAACACCTTACATCCGTTTCTTTCTTTTTGAGGGGCACACGCCTCACAGCGGTGTACTCTTACACTGTATCAATATCAGGTCGTGAATAAATTCACAACTTGAGCACTCTATTTAACTGTATTACCAGTTCAGCCAATTCGCTAACGAGAATTCGGTTTGTTATAACCGATTCAGCTGTCTGAGCTTATCCAAATCTGGCATACACTTGATGAGCTTGATCCCAAACAGTTGGAACGGCCTTCTGATATTCATTCAGCCGGCTGGCTAGCTGGTTGATGTTAGTGGTGTTCAACTGCTCATATCGATCAGCAGTATATAGCCGCATAATAATATTTTTAAAAATTCTAAATTCTTGATTAACAGTGTGCAAAAATGAACTAAACAGCCAAATAAATAAATAACTTAATGCGCTTGTTGGCTACAAAGAGTTAATGTTATCATTGGTCATAATTATTTAATCAAAATACCGCCTAAAGCCGTTTCCTGTATATATACGTATATTTAGTCATTCGCAGACCATATATATAACAAAAAAATCTTAGATATAAAACGCCTCTATTTGTTACCAGGAAGTAACTAATGACATTCACGACGGAATCTGATGACGTTATAGTGGAATTTTATTGTACTACTGAGAAACAACTCAATACTCTGATGCACTGTCTTACATTAAAGTGGTCTGTTTATCCATTTGCTCTCGTTTGATTAAGGTTATTGAGTACCTATCAAACATATATGTTAATATGAATAATGCACCTAGTGTTATAACTGTTTGAAATCACGTTTATTCCTTGTCACACATACGCTGGCTCCGTGTTTGGTCTTTAGCAGTAAACTGTATTGATGCTAGTTGACCAGTCGATGTTATGGTTGAGTCGGAGCTTTGCAATAACTGCCTCGGAATCATCCTCCTGTAAACTCTAATCAAAATATTAAGTCACATAACCTCAGTGGAACTAAAAGATTCTCTGGATGCAAAACTTCACCCGAAGTAAGCTGAATCCAACAAAAGTGAACCAAGTGCGCATGGAGTTACACTCAAATCTCTATCTAAACTTCACTGACTTCGGGAATTCGATGGATTGAGTCAACCATGAAATAATTTAAAAATTGTTCTAAGACCAAAGAATACAGGATCACAACCATTTATAAACCTTACTCAACAGCTTTATGAGGCTGATGTCACATGTATCTAGTGATTCACAGCAGGAAACTCAATGAGGCTTTTGAAATGAAGACAGGAATGAGATAAGATTACCTACTGTGATTAACAATAATATTCATGATTATCGTGGACTGGATTATGTACCGGCCGTGAGAGTTGAGAAGACAGAAATACACACGGGACCGACAATAAAACTTTAAAGGATCTAGATATCATAGACGATTTATGTTAAGCGTCACACAAACTCGGAGATATACAGGCAAAAACCAAAACATTGATAGACAAAGCTGGGGAGACTTGACTTCAGATGAACATAGTGAACACTGAGGGGATGGAGATGCCTGTCAATCAACACCAATGAACAATAATCACCGGAAAGTTTGGAGGAAGTCGCTTCTTTCATTTACTTCATCTTGGAAGAATTGTTTCAACTACAGGCGGCACAAATAACGATATCTAAATGATGACTAAAGAAACAAGACGGATCTTCATTATTCCGAAGTCAGTATAGAAGTCCACTACAATCAGCGCCAAGAAAAAGATCCGGATCTTCAAAATTAATGTCAAATGAGTTCTTCGATATGGCTTAGAGGCTTGATGCATCCTGAAAATCATTCCCAACAGGCTCTTGTATCTATAGTGGAGATCGTGTGAGGAGATGAGAACAGTTGTGCAGTCTGTAGAAGATGATTAAAGGGAACAGGATGAAATAGAAATTTTCAAGTGTTGGTTTGCGTGGATTTGATTGCTCTCAGGATTTCCCCATGAACTGATATCGGTTTGGGTACCATTGAAAAACCAGCAGGGAGTATTGGACATCTGTTTTGTTCCAGTTTAAGACTCTTAATCAGTACACACCAGGATCTACCAGTTACACGGCGAGCTGGTAGACCATTAAGCAGGTTGGGTGTGAGGACAAATACTCGTCACCGATAACATTCGCTAGTGGTCGTGCCATATATCGTTAATTTGCAGAAGTTAGAATTCATGGACTGGCTGGCCATTGGGTAGAATCCCAGCTAGTGAATGGTGTATGCTCTCGTCTTGTAACCAGAAGGTCCTGGCTTCAAACCGTGGTGATAGGTGCGTACCGTTGAATAGTCCCAAACTAGTGTGACGAAACAGGTGCGCAGTAATTCCAGGTTATCTGTTTTTCCTTTAACCAATGAGGATTTGCAGTTCAAGCCCTTTATTTCACTCGGAACCCAGCTAGATGAATGTCTGAATAAAGAACTATTTAATCGTTGATAAGTACATTACAAAAAGATTTTTTTTTCCAGTTTATACAGTCACTATGTTTTGGACACAATTGTTCACACAATAAAATAATGAGACTTAGATAATTTCAAAACAAACCATTAAACCAACATAAAGTCACCAATCAATAATAAATCACATCATCACCACTAAGCGAATGAACACTTATCAATAAATGTGAGGTTGACTTTCTGTCCTCATACAACACTTAAAAGTATGAGAAAAAAGCTGAAGAAGCACATACCTGATTGACCTTCGTGAAGGGATTTGTGATTACATTGTCATTTTATTATAGTTAAATTTAGAATCCTATTTCGATAACTCATTAAAATACATTGTAACTAGTCTTTTCAAGGTGTACAAAGACACTGTAGTAAGTTGTCATTATTATTCATTTATAACTTTGTCTAGTTTACTAGCTTTCTAGTTTTCCAGCCAGTCCATAGCTCAGTTAGAGAAGGAGGGTTGAGCGTAGGGCTAGAGACCCTACACCACAAAAGCTATCAAACTGCTATAGACAATTCAACTTCCAAGAAATATATTAAAAAAATACAAAAATATTTAAAAAACAAACTTATTCTTCGCTGGAATTGGAGAGGCGAAATGACACAGCCGGCTGAGGAAACCCCGCCGTCGGGAAGCCAGTAAGCCAGTCTATGTGTCTTCTCTCGATAAAAGTTAGAATCTAATTGAGGACGTAGAATGTCCAGGAATAATAATCATAATAACATTCGTTTACAAGACCCTAGTTTCAGAGTATTATCCTTTATGGGATATGCATAATTTAATTATACTTATAACTACATTTGGTCATATCTAAAATGCAAAACTTGTAATAACAGTGATAAGGGATGATGAGGGGTGTTCAAAAATATGATCAATAATGATGGTTTTTAAGTAGGACAGAAAATAATAATTAAAAAGTTTAAGGGTGTGTTGAACGTGATATATTGGGAAAGAAAGTTCTGTTTGTCAAAGTGAATTCAGTGTTGTTGTTTTCTAAAATTCTGACGAATCAATCCAATTAAATTTAATTAAGTTTGACTTGACTTTTATTCAAAATACCTGTGGGATGATACACCAAAATATGTATGAAGTATGATAGAGAAAAATGTAACGACTAAAATAGACGTGTTGTGTTCTGGAGACTGAAAACCAGACGTTGTATCCTACTGCATTATTATTTACTATATTTTTGTTGCTTTGGGTTCCAAGTGGAACACAAGGTCTCAACAGCACGCCTCCATTTTATTCTATTCTCTAAAGTCTACTTTGACTGGATTTACGATTTCCCAAAGTCTCTCATCTTCTCCTGGAACGATCTCCTTCATGTCACCCTTGGACTCACACCCAACTGCTCTCTTTCCATTTACGTTCTACCCGGAAGTTGCCATGAAGCGTGATGTCATTCGATGGTCTCTTCTAAGCATGCCTGATCTATCCATATTTCCTTCGGAATATTTCTTGAGACACAGGTTCTTGGTTTGTTTGTTGTCAGCGGAGGTAGTTGCTGATAAGACCTGAAGTGGCCGGTGGGGAATTCTTTTCCCGACGGTTGTTTTAAGTTTGTAATCCATATTGAAGCGTTCAATGCCTTGACACTGGTATTGAAAATCTAAACTTATTTCTGATTGCTGACTGCAGAAAATTTCAAAACTGATTATAGAGTGTTGAGTGTGTGGTTTGCCTTTCCTATCCCAGCTGGTTTCGACATCTTCATCGGTTCCACTGGCCTGTAGTTGAAATTATGCATCTCAGATAGGTGAATGAAGTGAACTCTTCCTGAGTTGTTCTGTTTATAATGAATGGTGCTTGTTGATGTTGTTCGGTGATTAATTTTATCACTACCGTCTTCTCTATGTTCACGTGAAGTCCTTTCTTTGCTGTCTGCTTCTTCTGCCAGTTTGTTGGCTTTCGTCTATAAGTCTTCGGATTTATGTGACACTAGACAAAAATCATCCGAAATATTCAAATCTTCCAGAGTCTTCTTGTCGATCCAAAGTATTCTTCACTCACCGCTCCCTAAAGTCTGCTCATCTGCGTATCTAAACACAATTTCCTAGAATGACGCACTATCCTAAAATGCCACGATGATAACGGAAAGATAATTGTTTGATATAAAACCTGAAGTGCTCAACAATGCACATTCAGCAATTTCCTAGTTACAAAACGAGAGATAAGAAACAAGGTGCGATCAAAACTTCGTTAACAACAATCACCCACCAAAAGATTTCGTAGACGGTTCAAGGTTAAATACCCAACCAACGACCAACCTTGAATTCATTCAAACAATATTATAATCGTTAACCACCACGTTATCAACACCGACATACAACTAGAGAGGGAATTAACATAATCGCAGATTATACAGGTGATATTCAAATGTTAGAACAATGATATACAACCTGGGAGAAATGACGACTATAAAAACAAAGTTATTTATTATCAGTGTTGTAGGTAGATTATTCAGGAGAGATTTTTCAAACAGTAATTTCCTTTTTCAAATATTGATTTTGTGGGGATTTTATTTGATAGGATGGAGGATTTCATCATCAGCTGACATCATTTAGAGAACCACTGGGAAACTTGGAAGTACTGGACAGCCACTCCACCCTAGTTTGGGAGTCTTCATCAGTACGCACCCACGAGCTCGCCTTGTAACCAGAAGGTCCTGGATTCAAACTCTGGTGGGTACCTACACTGAAGATTCCCAAACCAGTGCGAAAAAGCAGCCCAGTACTCCCAGGTTTTGCAGTGGTTCTCTAACTGATGTCAGCTCATGAAGTAATTCCCTTGCTGAAAATACGCTGCACAAATTGTTGCTTATATTTATCAGCATGATTTTACGTGTTACAGAGGTTATTGCATAATCATAAATTGGATTTCATTAAAAACCAGGGAGAGGTGGGCAGTCATTCCCTCCTACTTCGAGATTCTTCGGTGGTACACACCTATGATACTCCAGGCATCAAAGCTGAAGCCATTTTGATCCCACTCAAGGGTATACTAGGTGAATGATTGTCTTAACAGTCTACTCAACGAATGTTCTGTCCACGTTAATTTCTTTCTATATATTTATTTAGACATGGTTTGTTGGGAGCCTTTTTGACAGAATTCCTTATTGTTAATCTTCAGGATGGAGCGAAGTCAGCTGTTGATAACAGTCTGTAGGAGTTAAAATTCATAAGATTAAAAAAGCAATCACCAACCGACAAACTTATCTTGCTTCACTAAAAAACCTATTTAATCACACAGTCTAAAATAGACAAGCTTTCTCGGTAGTTGCTACTGCTTGTACATAGGAAGAATTGAGAGATGGCTGTTTACTAGGGGAGCTGAAGAGATAGTTTAGAGACATCCACGCTTTACAGCCTCATCCTTATTTGACACCGTTAATTCTCAGTAATATAGCCATTATAAAGCACGACATCAACATATCAAAATCTTTCAAGGTGATAAATACACAAAGCACATTATGTTTACTTTGAACTACCGAAACTGTCATCATTTGAAGACGAAAACCTGAAGGAAAGCATTAGAAACTCTATATTTTACTTCGATAGGCGTTGAGTGTTTCATTTGAACTGTTTGGAATTTAAATTCCTTAATATGACATAGTTTGATATATACACCTATGTACTTCTATAGTCGCTCAGTTTGTTCAAACAACCATTCATCGAATGATAGAGCAACCGACTCCCTTTTAGTCTTTATTATTCTTGTTTTCTGGCATTTTATTATCATTATTATTACATCTGCTTCCTAGTGGGACATAGGGTTTCAAAACAACATCTGATTTCATTATATTCCCTGCAGCCCTCTTCAGATGACCATTTGATCGCACATATGACATCATCTCCTCATCGCACGATCTCCTCTATATGATTGCCGGATCAACGCTTCACTCAACGTTTCACATTCTGTCTCACTCAAGTTCTGGCCTGGGGCGAGATGTTATTTGACGATCTCTTCAACGAGTGTCCAATCCATCTCCATTTCCTTCGAAGCAATAGGTTTTTGATGGTTTTGTTTCCTTCCAGATTTCTTTTTGCTTATTTTAGTCTAATAAGTTGAACTGAGTATTCCACTAAGGCGTCTTTTAACTCGATTTTAAGTTATTCCCTTTGAATTTTGGATTAATTCTATGAAGCAAAAGAAATTCACAGAACACTTCAGAAGCTCTTCTGGCGGTGTTATTATTCAAAGCAAAAGTATTTAATTCTTCATACAGACACTATTCTTCCTTTCTTACTCAGTACAACAGAATGAATTGCTAAAATTTTATGTTAAACTGTGTGACTGGATCAAAGCTACGAAAAATCCGATTGACGAGTCGAAAAAAGTTTTCCTTATTCTTTAGAATGTAACAAAAATGAATCACTAAACCAAAAAGGGTCTTACAGTTTGTTTGGTTAATCATTTGTATATTGTAAAATCACATCTAAGGTGTTTATCTCATTCATATTTTATCCTATACAGCTGACAGTGTTAGCCACCGACGGTGGTTTCGATAGTGGTTTAGACAGTCGAGTACTAAGGCCACCTGGCAGTACAATAATTCATCATACAGCAACTACACAACTGCTCATACAACTATTGGATGAAAATGACAATACACCAGAATTTCGTGGTCCACGACAATTTGCTGTTGAAGAAAATCAACAACCAAATAAATGGATTGGTGATATACAAGTGTTGGACAGAGATGAAGGAGTCAATAGTGCAGTGACATTTCGATTATTAACTGGTAAACTATTAAAAAGTAGTCATAGTAGTAATGATAATAACAATAATAATAACAACAGTGGCAGTAAAGAGGACGTCAAGAAAGTTAATCAGAATGTAGCTGCATTAGAAGATGGTAGTTTGCCCATTAAATTACTGAATAATGGAAGTTTATATACAACTAAATCGTTGGATAGAGAGTATAAGGTGAGGATAATTACTTTAATTGTTTTTTTTTTCTATTTCATGAGATGTACTCATTTAGAAGAGAATATCATTTTTGAATGGTTGAAGGCGATCGGAATTAAACCTAGGAGGTAAATTTGGAAGAGTTTTAAAGAAACTCAGTTAACTTATGAGATTCGAACCCGCGCCATCCAATGGTGCAGTCAGAGATGTTACCACTGAACTATTCGTGCTGGTAATTGATCTCCTGTATGACTGTAATGTGTAATTTGATTTGACTCTAGACAGAGTTTAATGTCATGCATGTAGTCCATGGTATTGGTGAAGACTTAATGTCTAGCCACTTGGCATGGAGATCACATAACACTGAAACGAATGAAGGTATACAATCTCTATTTTTACTTGGCTGACGGTGGCTAACACTGGAAGCTAGAATTTATATTTCATCCGATTTCAGGTTCGACATTTGGACTGATTTGCATTCCTGGTGAGTGATGGAGTTCTCACCACAACTGGAATCTAGCAAACACTCTTTTATAAGTTGAAAGATTATCCAATAGGCTATCTCCTTTTGTACAACGAGTGTCGAAATGATAATTCCAACAAATAACAATATCACTTTTTAACATTTAATGAATGCTTATTTGAATGGAGTCACTTCTTTTACCTGCCATCTTGTCATAATCGTCTCAACTACAGGTCAGAGGTGTGGCCAAGCATTTAATAGCCATTCAAGATAGGAGGGGTATGACAGACGTTTATTAAACTGTCACATATGTGAAAATCTGTAGCACTCAGTGTAAAGAAGAAGATTCAGATATTCAACACTAATGATACGTTAGTTCTTCCTTTTTAGTTCAGATATTTGGACTCCTTAACTGACCATCACCCAGATCTTGTCCATCAATAGCCATAAAACTATCAGTAGACACCTGTCCTACAACAAAAGAAGAAATCGTTAGTGCAATCAAGCTACTGAAAGACTTATGAGAAGGCAGCAGGACCAGAAGGAATTCCTCCAGAAGCAGTGGAAATAGAACGAGAAGTCTCAGCAGATATTCATAGGGCAGTTTTACGAAATGTTTGGAAGGGAAGTAAGGTACCTATTGCCTGGGAAAAAGGCTATCTTGTCAAATTATCAAAGAAGGACGACTTGAGCCCTTTCAAAATCCAGCGTGGAATATTGCTACTATCCATGCCAAGCAAACTTACGTCATCCTAGAGAGACTAAAAAGTGCACAGAACTCCACCCGTAACAAGCTAGATTCAGGGAAAGTCATTCATGCACGGATCAAATTTCAACTCTCCACATCAACATCGAGAACAGCATAGAATGGGAGTCGAAATTCTGTCTCAGTTCCATCAACATTGAGCAGGCCTCCTATTGTAATGATCAAGCAATATTTTGGAAATTTTTTCAACACCATGGAGCTCACTGTTCCAAATCTTTGTCAACCTCATTTAGTGGCTGTATAATGACTGTTTTAGCTTATGATCTTTGTAATAAAATTGTCAGTACAAATTTGATCACGGAGTGATATCATTTAGGAAAGCACTGAAAATCAAATAGGGAATCCTGTATGGGTGTTCCACCCTAGTTTGAGACTCATTGGCATTGCTCAACCACATTGCAGCTACAAGGCTATCAATTGTTGACTTCAGCATGGCCACCAGCCAGTGGCCTGAAGAAAAATAATCCCCGCCGATGATAGTGTTAGGTAATCACGCCAAAATTCATGAATTCATAGAAGTCAGAATTTGTGGGCTGGCCATTGAGTCAAGTCCCAGTGGCTGAAGGGCCTTCGAGGTGGTCTTTTATTTTGTTTTCAGTTTTGATTACAGCTTGATTCCACACTTTATTTTTGGTACAAGTATGGAATTTTCAGCATGGATAGCGGTCGCCCAAATTTTCCAGGCCGACCATAGATATCAAGTGTGCGTCGGCAGGGAATCGAACCTCGAACCATATGCATGTTCGGTAAGAGTCCTAAGCACTGTGCCACCGACGCACACATGTCCTAGGTGCAAATCTCGGTAGGTTGTTACTCCTGAAGAGTCCCCTACTAGGGGGGAACGACTGGCTGCTGGGGACTACCTCGTTGATTTTTAGTGCTTCTCTAACAAACTTGAGATTAACCAAATCCCTACGAACGAACTGCTGAAAATTATCAGTACAAACAAAAATACTATTTTTTATATTATCCATTTTAGTTCTCAGGTAACGCCTGTTGTAAGGACAGGGATTGAACAGACTTTTTGTGGATAAACAGATTGGGTTGGAATGTTTTTATGGCAACTGGCTAAGCTATGCTTAGTCACCAAAAGGCACAGGAACCTAGGGAATTGAGGTAGCACCTTGCATAGAATTTCAAAGGCTCATAAGAAATGATCGAAAATACGTGTTTTGTTAAATGATCATAATGGGAATATATATATATATATATATATATATATATATATATATATATGTTATTCCAAACTCATGCTCACTCCGTAGTAGACCATTTAATGAAAAAACCCGACTTTACTTTATTTCAACACCAAAAGTCGGATAGGGCGACAGCACAACGCATGATGAGAAACGTTCACTGTATTTTATGTTGTATTTGGTTTTATTTAGTGTGCAATAAATTTTACGAGGACAGCGACGACTACCAAGTCTGAAATGCCGAGTGCGGAAAAAGCAAAAAAAAACAACAAGAAGAATGAGAATAGTAAAAGATTTAGGAACACTAGAGTATACAGAAAATGAAATAGTGAAACACGAATAAATGCATTTAATTTTCCCCCGTCAGACGAAATATTTTTTGTTTTCTGTTTTTCATGTTACCAAATCAGTCCGGAAAAATCTGAATGACCATAAAAAAAATAATAAAAGTCTTTTTAGAAGATAAAATAAACTTGTATATCTCTGCTTTGCTTGCTTTGCTGTCTGTCCTAACTGAAAGTGTCCTAAAACAATTTTGACACGTGAAACCCTTGAATGGATGACATTTAAATTTCTCTGATTGTAAAAGAACTCCTCGTCAGAGAAACCAAAGAAAAATAAGCAGATCACTTGTAGTGAACTTTTTTGGAAAAGTTTTGATTAAAAAGAAGAAAATATACTTCTTGAAAGCAACTGTTTATCGTCCTTACTCTCATTTTGTTGAGTTAAGTAATAAAAATGATGAATTTAAACCAGTAATTTGAAGCATAAATAACTTTAGTTCCTCGTTAACTGAAACAAGATATATATATATATAATTTATCGGTGCGACTGTCGTCTGGTTACAGGAATGTCGATTTTAGATCTTAAAGGTTTAAAAAGTAATGGTATGTATTAGATGGTTGGAGGCAATCGGCCACAGGAAGCCTTCGACCTAGATTTCGTGCACTCCTCCCAGTCAGCAAGGCGTATCTGCAACTAGTTACTAGTGTCAAATCAAAATATCCACTACAGTCCTACATGAGGTCGATTGCGGGCCCGAATAGCTCAGCGGTAACATCTCTGACTGTAGCACTGGGTGACGCTGTTTCGAATCTCAGAAGGGACATGAGTTCCTTCAAGGTTGCAGATACGCCTTGCTGACTGGTGAGTGCCAACTAGCACGAAACCTAGGTCAAAGGCTTCCTGTGGCCGATTGCCTCCAACCATCTAATACCATCAACTCAATGTGAACCGTGATGGCCAGCTAGCTAGAATGGTGGTCACATTACAACCTGACTGACAGAATTCAGTCTACATCAATCAAAGGACTAGACGCATCACACTAGTTACTAGTGTCAAATCAAGTAATGGTATGTTATAGACAGTGGCATAAGGGGTAATTCGGCGCTCGATCCCTGGCCGACTCAGTGATTTATCTCGGTAAGCCAATAATAGGGTTGGTAAAGAGGGAATGTTGGGCATGAGGCTAGCAACCCCATCCCGTGAAAATAAATACCGCAAAGAGTAAAAGAAGTGTAAGAGGCTTGGATTTCCATTGCCTAACTATTTATTTTCCAAGGTACGGTTGCTAGCTCCCTATTTTTCAATACTTATGATGTGCCAGTAAACTAGACGGTGTTGATAACCAGGGGGTACTGGACAGTTGTTTTGCCGCAGTTAAGGACTGTTCATCACTATGCATCCATCACCCTACTGAGAATCGAAAGCATGAGGTTCAGGTTACAAGGTGAGCTCCTTGAGCAATCAACCATTGGAAGATGGATCCTGCATCTGCTTAGAAGACCGCTGTGTGATTCCATCCACCTATCAGGTCTTTGGATGTTGACCCGAGGACGATATGGATATGATTGTGTGAAAAGGAAACAAGAGCTAGTGGGCATTCGTGGAGTCACCTCAGGAGGACTGCAAAGAAAAGTGTGCAATAAAGACATGCTAGTGGGGCCTTAAGTGATAGGATCCCACACACTTTGTTATTGACCGTTAATGTCGCATAGATGGTATATTATCATTTCTCACGCACTTTGTTATTGACTATTACGATCAATTATTTCAAATGCTGTTAGCTGTCTATACTGTTGTAAAAATGTATAAATACCATGACTTTCTTTGTCGTTGTTGTTGTACTACAATACACAGTCACAGTCCAGTCTTTATCTTTTGATATTTTGCGTGGTTCACTGAATCGGAAGGTACCACAAGCAGATAGGCATATTAGTCAGGCGCAGACAGAACAAGGCGACAACGTCCTCATTTAATTTCTCTACCGTTATAACATTATGTTCCATAGGAAACCTTGTGCAGTAATCATATTAAGTCATTATGAAAGTAGATTAATTGAGTAAGATTAATTGATCAACCGTGCTTTCAGTCAACATGACACAAACCTAAAATCTAATTTACTGGAAAGAGAGTACGATCATACTAAGGATTATGCCATAGATAATGATGATGAAAATGACATCCATTACAGTAACAGTTATTGTAATAGAGCGTATTGCGTAATAGGGTGATTTCACGTGACACATCAAAACTTACACGGCATTATTTAATTACCGATGACGTTTCAAGTATAATTTACTGCTTACAGTCATCTTAAGTCAGAAATGTACACAGGAACACGACTGTAATGAGATTTTTTCAAATAAAGTACTTCTAACTACTGGACGGTAATAAAAGTTAATAGCCTGGAAGCATTACAAGATCTGAAGAATTTTCTGATGACACTAAAATCTGCTCTTTGCTGTTAAATTTGTTTGGTAGCCAACATCATTAGAGATTATTGAAAACCAGTAGGGCGAGCGACAGCTATTTTGTCCTGTTTGTAACTCTTCGTTTCGCAAACACACAATCCAGTCTTGTCACTCACTGAATTCCTGCCCAAGTGGCTGAATGGTCATCGAGTTTGGACTCGTAATCAGAAGGTCTCAGGATCGATCCATGGTGGAATTGTGTGTTCACACATCCGAAAATTTCTAAATAGGATGAAACAGAGTTCGGTGCTCCCTGGTTTTCAATACACACACTGTCTCTCTCTCTGACTGATGTTGGTCCACGATGAAATTTACCAACTAGAATTGAAATTAATGCAAGTCGCCACAAATTCCATAATCTAAACAGTGTGGTTAGGATACCACTGGCTTGAATTTTTTAACTGCTGATCTATCAACCAACTGTACCCAGATATCTTAATCTCAGTCCCTTTTATTAGGTCTCACAAGTTCTTGTATAAGATTTTGGAGGACTTTTTGAATGCAATTGAGTGCTTTCATTTCACAAGACGTTTTATTATCAAATGAAAGGCTACAAGTTCTCCACTTCACTAGAAATGAAGAGAATGTTAACAAGTAACTATGTTATGGTTTAATTTCACTGTTTGAATTATTTTACAAAACACAAATTACTTACTCATATTTTTGTTCTCAAAAATTTGTTTTCTACTCACAGTCGCATTACTGTTTCGAAGTTGTTGTCTCTGACAAAGGTTTGGAAAAATCACATTCCACTGTGGATACAATATGCGTACGTGTGTTGGATATGAATGACAATAAGCCATACTTTGTTGAAATTAAAGGCGCCAATCAATGTAAGCCTGTTATGCTTTATAAATTATTGGTTATTTTATAACGCATTCGTTTATGAAGTGACTTCATTTTAAGATGCCGAATATTCAGTTCCGATGCAATGCTTTTTTTATGTATTTATAATTATGACGTATATTACTGTGTTATTATTCCCTTGGATTCCGAGTAGGGCACAGGGATTCAACAGCACATAGTCATTTCATCCTATTCCTCAAAAATCTCTTTATTTGTCTCCGCTATCGCTCATAAGTTTTCCATCTTCTTCTCAGGAGATCTCATCCATGTCATTGTCCGATTAACACCCTACCAGTCGTTTCCAATCTGATTTCCACTCAAGTGATTACCCAGTGATCTCAGAGTGCAACTAATCAGTTTCTATTTTGTTTGGAATGTTTACTAAGAAATAGGTTCTCGACTACTTCGTTCCCAGAGTTCCTCATTTTTAATTCTTTCTTGTCGGTTATCTAATCGTCACTATCGAACAAGAGAAGACATCCGTTGATAAAAATGTTCAGCCTGTTGGGATTGCCTTTCCTGATAGATTGAGTTTCTGAAAAATTAGGATTAACTCCGATAATTTTGGCTGTTGACAGTTAGCACTGCAATCCTAGATGCACCTTCCATCCAGTTTGGGGCGAAGTTAAACTTTCGACACCACTAACTACCAATCAGCGAATTATCCAATGAGATTCACGAACGTAGTTCAATGTTGTGGAGCGCTTGATTCATTTCTAATGCGTGACCTTACAAGGTTACGGCTGCAATTTGAGGAGGTTAGTGTTTTTCCAGTATTGCCTGGATTTAAATTGCTCCGGAAGGAGCGAACTTGTTCTTGTGTTGGTATCATGACTTTGAAAAGCTATAGCAGATCAACTGGTGGGTTTGTTCATCGTTGTGCTATATGTTTGAAGCATGCTAATATTAGAGAGGGTAAGCTGATAATTTTAATATTTCGTGGGAAATTTTTCCGCTAGGTCACATCTCTCATTAACCCAGATTTTGTATATCTGCAATTACTGGGTGTTGAAACAGCCGGTGAGAGCAGCAGCTGCCGAGACTGAGAATAGTCTTGTCTCAACAGTTTAGTGGTACCAGCATTGCAGAGATATTGCTTCGTGTAAAATAGAGACAATCACTTGTTTGCTGTGTGGATCCCGTTACGAGGACTCATATGAATTCCACTGAAGGTTTTCGGGGCCGCCTGAAAGACAAGATAAGGGCTATAAATGGATCTGAAAAGGATCTCATTTACAGCCGTTCAGATGAATATAAGTACAGGATTTGCTGTGACTTCGCCATTGACAGTCACATGCTAAACTGGGGGATGTTTCTCTCACATATTCGAGAAAGATACTCCTTGTAACCGTTTTATCCTTCTTTATGCTTTTTTCTATAAATATGCGTTTCCATTCATCATATATGCCTATTTAATGTGATCGGTCCGTTCAAGGTCGTTTGCTGATTGGTTACTAGTGGTGTCGAAAGTTTAACTTTGCCCAATTTGGAAATTTTTAGCTGAATATACTCAGTATTCTCAGTAGGTGATGATGTTCCCCTTCGGTCATGAAACCAACACCTTCCGTTTCAAATGTAAAATCATTTGTAACTGGTCATTGGGTCATATAAACTTAACTGACTTTTACTATGCGATATAAAAGGATGGATATGAAAGGTTTCGAAAGCAGCAATGTTGTCAGTAGATACCATCAGATACAGAAGCGTAATATACAAGTCGTTCAATGGTTATTTTAATAAACAGCTTTTATATTTTAAACGAAATTTACTTAGAGCTCAACGTGTTGAGGAGATTGTTTTGCCAGCAAAAGAGGTGTGCATATAATTGGGTGAAATGGAGATTTGATGTTGGTGTCCCGTGTTCCACTGGGAATCCGAGGCGTTAATAGTAACAAAAGTAATAATAAAAATATACTAATTAGGTACTAAGATAACAAATCATTAACACCCATTGTGTACTATCGAAGATTGGGAAGGGGATAGGGATGGACTTTTATTTTTGTGTATGCACGTTTCCAATGATTTATTGAAAGCATTACAAATTCTTTTGTTAGGTATTTGAGAACACAAAAGTTTTATTTAGGGGATTTATGTGTACAGTCTTGACCGACAAAAAAGATCAGAAGCTACTGTCACTTAGTAATGAAGTAAACTAAAGTGTCTGAGAACTAACAGTCCATGAAAAATACTGAACAGCCTTGAGTAATCAAGAGGGTATGATAAATAATCAAAATGACAAGTGAAAAAATAAATATCCAACCTCCTTCATGGATAAACATTTGAACAGAAAGACTGATGATTCACGAAACCGGGAGATGACTAAAAAGCACGTAATTGTAAGTGTGAAATTTAAGAGAGATACATACAGTTATTAAAGTTTATGGAAGCTGTCTGCCGATAGCACCACCATAACACACCTTTTACATATGCTCTTGTTTACCAAATCGTCGAAGATCCTGCTCTTGGTATTCATCAGTCTACTTAATTATGTGAACAGTGTATGTCTCGTCAGAGTTACGTTTGCTCAGAGATGTTGTTCACTGGTTGTCGAATATTCTCCAAAAGCGAATGAGAGTTCCTATAAATTCTTAAGAATACAACACGAGAATCAATAAGGCAAGTAGATAGTTGAATTAAGTGAGAAGTGGAAGTTTGGAAAAAAACGCGTATATTTCTGACCTGTTAAAACAAAAGATATACAAAATACGTTTTTTAATAAATTCAACAAGAAGTGTACAATATCATTGATCTGGGCCTTTTAGATGCTTGGCAGTGGCTAGGGTAACGCTTTATCACCAATTGACAAACTTAGAATTCAAGGATCATTGTATTCCATTCCATTTACCTAAATGGTCATTAAGGTTGGTCTTGTAACTTGAGGTTACTTGATGTTGAATACGTATTGCTGAAGAGTCCTAAAATAAAAAGAAACGGGTTTTCAGCTCATCCCCCCCTCCCTATTCTAATTTCTTTATTGGATTTCGGTTTGTGGCAGGAATTGAACGATCTAGATTAGTCCAAAATCCTGACAAAATAAATAGTCTGGAGAAAATAATCCTTTAAATGTGAAATGGAAGAGTTCAGAATTTGAAGCTATTTCCTCATGTTTTTATTTTGTCTCTGTGAGGCCTGAGTGGAACATAGGGCTTCAAGCTATCAACCCTAAAGTTTCAGAAGTAGTAGTGTTTATTTGTTTTTTGAGGTGGAGCTGGCAGCCTCACATCTACACTTCCCTTTTTACCAGGCTTATAACTAGGTAAGGCAGGTTTAGAAGCATGTCAATGTCTGGAAATCGAACTTTTGACCGGGTGAGTGGCAGACCAGGATTCTACCCTTTGAAACAAACATCAATGATCCAGAATTTCAGGTTGTTTATTGAAAACTAGAGACAATTAACTAAGAAAAAGTAGGTTTTATTTACAGTGTGATTGGAAATTGTTTTCTAATTAGCCAAATTTGACCAATAGAAATTGTGTTCAAATAATGCCTCAAATCGAAGTTGTTCAAGTATCCAAAGGATAAATGGAAATTTATTTCTTCTGGTGTAACAAGACTTTTAACATTTTATATGTTCATTATCACACTTTTATTACACTTTAAATCACTAGTCGCCAGTAAACCATTCTGTAAACTTCTGAAGTGACGTTATCCTTTTAAAGAGAATGGAACTATTTCATTGACATTTAAGTGGAAATTATTCTTCTTATCGGTACACTACTACTATTTTCACAGCTGATTTTCGATTAGACAATGAAGCAAAAATCTGTGGATAGTTTCTTTATTCCTTTGTACTACCAGTGGAACAAAGGGCTTCAAGCTACAACATCGAAATTTTGATAGTACTAATGTTTAATTTTACGGCATGGGGTTGCTAGCCTCATCCTCAACCTTCCCTGTGTACCAGTCTTAATACCGAATTAGCAAGGTAAAGAAGTCTGTTGGCCAGGGTCGAACCCCGAACCACATATGAGGTTGACGAGTATCCGACTACTAAGCCACTGACTCATTAAGGAGTGGTCACTTCACTCATATTCGACTGGCTAGACTAAGGAAAGAAATGGAAAATGAAATGATAAAAACGAAATAAAATCAAAGGTTGATTTCCATCCACTTATTTATTGCTCATAAGGCCAAGTTAAACTTTAAGCACCGCTAGTTACCAATGGCGTGCGACAGCACCAATAAACTTGAAACGCTTACGGAGCAATTTAGTGAAACTTGGCAAATAATGTTGTCACCTATCAATGAAATATGCTCATCGAAGTGTTACGCTATTAAATGTTATATCTGGCAAGTTTTAGCCAAAGTTTGAGAAAGATTAAGTTGTGGTTTAGGCCACTGACAAGTCAGGGTTAGGTTAACCTAATAAAAGCGAGATTAGGGTAGGTTCGAGATAGATTACAGTTAGTTTAGGGATATTTTCACTTTATGGTTAGGTTCAGAAAAGATGAGACTTATTGTTGTGGTTAGAAGACCTAAATAATTACATGCAAAGAATGTAGTTAAATTACTCTGTTGCTGAAAGAATTTTACTTGTGCACTGTGGTAGGGTATAATTCTACTGTGGGTTAAGTTTATTTTGACAAAGTCTCACAGTGATACACAGTAATATTTACTGAGTGTGTTTCGAGCACAATTTATTGCTCAGTAAATATTATGGTATTTCATTGTGAGACTTTATCAAAATGAATTTTATCCACAATGGAATTACACTCTATTAATATTCCATCCCAAAACTGAGAGCTAATTTTTATCACATGTGAGAGGAAGGTATCCTCCGTAGCACGTCTACAAATTTTATGTATATTTATCTTAAATATATGTGTATTCCATACACAAAAATGCCTCCTTCACCTGATTGGTGCGTTCGAGGTTATTCGCTGATTGGCAGTTATTGGTGCTCAGAATTTAACTCTGCCGCTGTTAATAAACTCTCCAGAATATTTAGCAATCACTTCATTTTTATAGTCTTTTTTCCTTAATTAGT